AATTACAAATTTAGGTTTCTGTTTACACCCTCTGACTCAATATTTAATATTCGTATTTCTTCACCAGAACTAGAATTTACTTTTCAAAAGTTCTGCATCTGGTCGAACTTATGTTATTCATATACAAGCTCGAAGGATGAGCATATAAAGGCGTAACTTATATCAGACTAAATCACATCAGGCTGGCGACGACCAGCAGAAATTGTAAACGACATACCTATCCTCTCGTGAGAGAGGATGTTACGTAAGGACTATAAAATTACTGGTCGTGAGTCTCAAGGGGTTGTCGCCAAGACGAACTGATTGGCTGTAAACCGCCAGTCGTAAAGTAACACTGACTCTCATTCTGACTCTGGCTCTCACTCTTGACTATATCATGTCAGGGTTACTGCATAGTTACTTCCCACATGTGAAGGCCGCGCCATAGCTCAAGCGGTTAGTCACTGCCTTCCCACCGCGGCGGCCCGGGTTCGATCCCGGGTCTGGTCATGTGAGATTTGTGGTGGATAAAGTGGCGTTGGGGCGGGTTTTCTCCGAGTACTACGGTTTCCCCTGCCAATCTTCATTCCACCAAATTCTCCCATCATCCTAATCACCCGGGGCAGGCTACAATAGGCCAATCAGTGGCCGCCGTGCCGAGTGGACCCAGCTGGACTCCACCCCCCAATAAGCGAATTAAAAAGAAAAATTACTTCCCACATCGTCTCCTATCGTGATCTAAATGTGTTATGAAGAGAAGGATCGTCTGGGTTGTAACGCCGGTAGTTAGGAGAAAGTCCTACGTTTCGCAGGAACATATCGCCTCCACATTCAGGGTTAAAGAGTAAACCTAGGAAGAAACTAGCAGAAGCAGGCGGCTCTCCACTGGAAGATGATACTGTCTCAACATTCAGGTCCACAGATAAGAAATGCAGGATTTGAGGTTCTCACAGCGTCAGTATAAAGAGTTCTGTTGTTCTGGTAAATAATGCAGTGTAGTCAGTAAAAGTCAACCAACGTTTCGCGGGAACATAGTGATTCTATCTTCATGGTCGAAATTAAGCCAAATTCTGCCTGCTGCCTGCTTCATGCTAGTTTCTTTGTTGTCTTTCCCTTCGACCCTCAAGAATGAGGCGATACAGTATGTCCCAGAATATCGAAATATTTGGCCTCTTTCATTAAAGTGGCCAAACGTCAAGAAGAGCTCTGCTTCACTGAGTTGAAGGTACGAACTCGACATGTGTCCCTTGGTTCGACGTCTGTTAAAGCAAGTGGGTCAATGACAGCTGCAAACATATGATGAAGCATAATGTGAACTCCTTTCAGTGAGAGCTGCGCTGACACAAGAACCCGGAAGGAGACGAGTCTCCGTTATTTGTGCCCGCAAAGATCATTTTGTTGCTGCACAAAGAACTCGTAATCTCTGCTACGTGCAATACCGGCTTAAACATAGCGTGAACATCAACACGTACACAAACTTAATTCACACAGCGGTATTTATATAACAGTCGTTTAGTCCAGTTGCCCGACATTTCGGAGAAATATATCACCTCTATCTTCAGGAAAAAAAAGTAAGCCAAGCAAGCAGGCAGCAAGATGGAAAGAATATGTTCCTCCGAAACGTTAGTTGAATTTTACTGCGCTACGCGGCGTTGTATCCCAGGAGATATATTTCTTAATTTATAATATATATGAAATGTTATAAAAAGTTAAACAGTTCCGTCCAGTGTGACTGGTGAAGATTTTTCTTATTTCAATTTTTCATGCCCTTACATGTTTCGGTCCTTAGAGACCATTATCAGAGGGACATCAACACAGTTGGAAGCTACAATATAGTTTTTTTTAAATTGCTAGTGGGGTGGGACTAAGCCCCTTGTACTACGGCCACTTCTGGCCTATTGTACCTTCTCCAGATGATAGATGAGGGTGGTTGTGGAGCAATTGGTGGAATGAAGATTGGCAGGGGAAACCGAAGTACTCGGAGAAAACCTGCCCCAGCGCCACTTTGTCCACCACAAATCCCACTTCACCAGACCCGGGATCGAATCCGGGCCGGCGCTGTGGGAAGCCAGCGACTAACCGCTTGAGCTATGGCACGGCCATATACAGAGTTACTACAAATGATTCATTCCATTTCAAAGCACTATATTGGTCGTCCAGTGCTTTTCCGTTTGTACAGAAAACCAGTACCCTTAAACTGCTGATAACACCACAGAATGTTCTGTTTACATGGTGGTTCTTTTCTGTGTGCTGCTCTGAATGCACGCTGCGCTGCAATAACAGACGAACATCTCGCATATTCCAACACACAGAGACTCTTTCCCAGCTTCGTCGCCATTTTGTGAGGCACTGCACTCATGCTGCTAACTGGTGTATCACGATGCGAACTTGGTGAGTTTGCGATTCTTCTCATGTACCAATCATATTTGTATGTGTAATACTTCGGAAAGTAAAGTGTTTTGAAATTGAATGAATCACTTGTAGTAACCCTATGTTTTGAGCGTTAAAAAATACATATAATGTTGATAATATATATTGGATATAAAATCTAAAGCTTTAACAACTACAGCGGCTGTCTTAAAATTTTTCTTGTAATTGGTTTGTTAAGATTTTGTTAGAATTTATAAACCAGGTAAGTTCGTGCCCTCTTTCTTATTACTTCTCTTGAGGGGGGCCGAACGTGTGCCGCCTTGTCCTTGAGAAGATGGTCCTTTGATGTCCTCCTGTGGGTGTTCGTGGCGCACATAAAAAATTGTCGATCTCAAATTGGTTAGCCCTAAGTGTCGCGTCACAAATGGATAAGGAGAAAACTGTGGCACACATAATGTCGATGAAAGGCCAGAACACTAACATTCTGCCATATTAACGGCGTCACGGATCAATCGAATTGTGCACGTGTCAGGGGGAACAAGTCGATATGTTTCTCCACGCTACCGAGGCAGGTAATTCGTTTGAAACTGTTGTCTGCCGTGTGGACGCGAGCTATTGAACGTGTGACTTGTGGAGCTTTGTTTCCTTTTGATGAAACTGACATTGGCCGTCCAATCAGCTTACGGCATACGAAAGGACGATATCTTAGAAAAAACTGGAAGTGAAACCCAAAGAAACTGTCCATTAGTAAATTAATTTAGTCGGATTAGTCAACACTAAGTGCATACTTTATATAGGTTTCATTTCCGATATACTTCACATATATTGAAATAAGACATAAATTGCCATCTAAGTATATAGAGTTTACATCCGTGTCTTGGTTACCTGTTTTTGAAACCCCAAAATATTTCGGTCATATAAGACAGTTCTCATGGGGTGTATCATTTTAAAGAGAACGTTACAATTAATATAAGAAACAAACCCCGTGGCCTGTAGCCCGCAAGTGAACTATACCGACCGAGCGACCACCACTTGTCGGCAAAGTTAGTGCCAAATTTTGCTGATAGAGGGTGTCACGTGGTCAACGCAAAGGTTCCCCACGGCCGTTAATCTCGGATTTCCAGACCGGACAATTAATATATGTATATATGTAAAAGAATATTTAAAGATATCTGACCCACAGTTTTAATTTAAAAGGGTTAAAACTGATATTGTGCTAGAATGTGTTGAATTGGGCCGTAGTTAGTGTAATTTCATTCACTACGGTGTATCATGCGATGTTGTAAGTTGCTGTCTCATGCTCTGTATTTAGGTGTCGATAAGGTGGAGATCTACTTTCACCTTTTAAAAGAAATTTATGGCTCACTGTTTTAAATGCTTTATTTTCATGCATATTGTGACATATGAGCCGTTTCTATGTGTATATCAACAAAGGAATGTCCGTAAACATTCTTGCGGCAACGAATACAGGCAACAATACAAGAACTGCCGTTTCTATGGGACGGCCGGTAAACACCTTCCCCCTTAACGTGACAACAGTAAGGAATCCATTGTTATGAGATACGCGCTGTGACTGGTTGCTAGGTTACGCAACTATTCTGAACTGAAGATGTTTTCTGTGCGATCCGCGCCGCGGCTATATAACAATAGTTCTGTGTGGAGGTGGGGTCGAATACCTTCACCGTAACCCTGCGAGTCGTAGGAGGCGACGAAAAGGAAGTCTCAAATCTGAGACAGTAAAATATTGTCGCGAGTCCCAAAGGACTCGGGCCCGAAGAAGACTGCAAGGGCCAGCAGCATATATAAAAGACAGACCCGTCCTCTCGTCAGAGAGGACGCCCCACAAAAAGAAGACCGTAACTGTAAAATAGTAATAAATGTCTCCAAGAGCCCCACTTGGAGCTCAACACTAAGACTTACTGACTCACCGTCAGTCGCAATGTGATTTTGACTTGACTCTGACTGGAAACTACTGGACTGACAAGAGGCCCTGTATGTATTTATTAATATCTTAACATGTTAAGTGTATACATCCTTTACATTATGACGCTACTGCAGACAGTGACTCTGACAAAGACAGACCGTCCAGACGGGGCGCCCCACAAAAACAAGACCATAAATGTCAAACTAAAATGGAGCTCGACACTAAGACTGGCTTACTGACTGACTGACTCACCGTCAGTCGCAATGTGACTTTGACTTTGACTCTCACTAGGATCAGGGCGATTTGTAAGAAGGTTGCAAGAGCGCGGCTGAGAAGAGAAGGTTGTATGTAAAGACGTTTGGATTGCGTAATTCAGTGAGACTGTGTTACTAATCCGTCATGTTCATGAACTACTATAAATGGAAAACAAGTACGGACGCCAGATTTAATGTTCTTCTGCCTGTGACTATGAAAATTATTGTCTTCTGGGATGTGAAGCCGTGGTACATGTTTGTTAATATCGGGACCCGTCAGACTACACGGAAACACGTCCCAGAAAACACTAATCTTTAAAATTAAAATTATAGACAGTACGATCGGTTTCACGTTTCACTGGCCATGTCAGTACGGTGGCGACTATTTTCCTCTCGATTTACGAACAGGCTTCATCCAGTCTGTGCCGCTTTTAACTATAAAATCGATGGTCATCGCATTTGTTCTGTTACAGATTCGACTCGCTTGCTATTTGCGACATGGTGGATCTTCATTACTATCCTCACATCGTTCTACACGGCCAACCTAACAGCTTTCCTTACACTGTCGCGTTTCACCTTGCCTATAGACGGTCCTAAAGATCTAACGAAGAACAAGGCTGGTTGGATAGCACATAAAGGATCAGCGTTGGAATACGTAGTCCAGGTGAGTGTTCTGAGTGCTCAGTGCTTTGTTGGGGGGGACTTGCTAGAAGATTAAATGCAGCAGATATTTAAAATATTTTGACAAACAGACCAACTGAAGATTCTCTGAAACGTCATCATCGCACAAAATCGCGCGATCTGACAACTTGAAATAAATATTACAGCGCAAAAATGACGCTGGTGCTTCGTTCTTTTGAATGTCAATGTTACCTCAGTGCCCATGAATAGATCACATAAAAGCACGGTATTAATATTGATCCATCAACCGTGCGCAAATATTAAGTTTTGACGTATTGCGGGCTGGTTTCCTTTATGCCTAATAAGAGAAAATTGCCCTTGTGGGTGTTTCTACAGGAATATGAGTTATTTTCTTTTCTCTTTGCCAATAACTCTGCAGTAGAACTTGTGTGCGTTACCTATAATATTCTGTTATTCGTATGTCACAACGTGAAGGCTACGCTTAATGTTCGTTCGTTGTGTGACAGTGCCCTCTTTTAGATTTGTTTTCATGTTGGGCGAAGGAACATTACATTATTGCTTCACTAATGCCTTCAGAATCTAATTTGACGTGATGTAGTTCTCCATGTGGGAGGTACGTGGTTCTTTTTCTGGGTTGTTTCAAGATACAGTCATTAGCTGGACTATATAGCATCGGATGGTAGAATGGCGGACCGCCTCTGTGGTCTAGTGGTCAGAGTTCCTGGCTACAGATCCAGAGGTCCCGGGTTTGATTCCCGGCGCTACAAGATTTCCTGAGAAGTGGTGGGTCTGGAACGGGGTCCACTCAGCCTCGTGGGGGTAATTGAGGAGCTATTTTAAGGAAACAGCCGCTCCGGTCTAGAAAAATCGAGATTAACGGCCGTGAGGATCCGCTGCGCTGACCACGCGACACCCTCTATCCGCTAAAGTTTGCACTAACTTCGCCGACAAACGGCGTACTACACAGCAGGTTGACGTAGTGTACCGCTATAGACGCGTATTACGGAAGTGCTTGGCCTGAACACCAGCTAACCTGACTGCGGGGGTTTTCGTCACTTTTCTGTCTCTCCAGGCAAATTCGATACATTGCCTCCAGGCTACTTTGCTTCCTTCCAAACCTTACCTTATGCGTCATTCTACCAAAAATTAACTCCGTGGTCTGTAGTCCGCAAGTGAACTATACTGACCAACCGAGCGACCGCTGTTTTTCGGCGAAGTTAGTGCCAACTTTAGCGGATAGAGGGTGTCACGTGGTCAGCGCAACGAATCCCCACGGATTTGTGAGCACCGTAATAAAATGTCGGATTGCTTCATGCAGAACATTTGGGAGGCAGCTAAGAACTTCCATCTTCTGAAGAAGGTTTCGCCATATAACCCGAGTTACCGCTAAATAAATCACATGAGGAACCCTGCTTTATGGAGTTAGGTGATCTACGCTTTATTCAGAATATCTACGGAATGCATGTAAACAAAATGTCGGGGACAGGCGATAGCCGGTTGGCTTCAATATCCGGCAAGCACTCTCCGCGCCATACAAACGATGCCTCTTCCACTGAAATGATAGCACTTTAGGATATAACGAACACTGCGGGATAGATGGCGCTTGTGAACTACGCTCTCAAGTGGTTCTGCTGGTTTCCATGCACTCCACAGCAATTCCGAATCAAGTGCATTTAGATGCTTTGATAGAGAGAACTCGAGAAGAACTCTAAAGAAACCGATGGTAAGGTAAAGTTGTCCCTGTGCTTAACTACGTGTAATTAAACACTACACCATGAAGACATGAAGGAGTGAGTGTATAGATCCACATTTTCTTGACCTCGGCACTAGTTGGAGGTGAGTGGTCAGCTTCATGCCCCGGCTGCTTTACTCCCGGGGAAAGAGCCCCCGATACCCATTGGATAGAAGGTTGGGTGGACCACAGAGCCGGTCTGGACGACATGGAGAAGAGAAAATTCTTCATTCTACCGAAACTCGAATTCCGACCTCTTGGTCGTGCAGCCCGTAGCCAGTCGCTATCCCGTCTCGCAAAGATACCGATGAGATTAACAAAATGATGATGTTTGTGTAACACGCCTCTTTTCGTTGCAGAACGACAAGGATTACGAGTACCTGAATAAAACCGTCAAGGACGGCCGTGGCCGCTTCCTGGAGATGCCGGACCTCGATATGTTCACCTTGGTCAAGAACAGTTGAGTGTCGCCTTCCTACCTCACAAATACAGTTGTGAATATTTTATAAATTTTTACACTGTATGCTTCTAGGCATAAATATTGAAGAAAACTGCATAATGAGGAACTTCATAAATTGTACTCTTCTCCAAGTATAATTAGAATGATCACGTCAAGGAGGATGAGGTGGACAGGGAATGTAGCACGAATGGGGAGAAGAGGAATGCATACAAGATATTAGTCTGAAACCCAGAAGGAAATAGACCACTGGCAAGATCAAGGCGTAGGTGGGTGGACAATATTAAAACGGATGTTAGATAGGATGGGATGATATGGATTGGATTGATTTGACTTAGGATAGGGACCAGTGGAGGGCTCTTGTGAACACGGTAATGAACCTTCGGGTTCCATAAAATTCTGGAAAGTTCTTGAGTAGGTGCAGAATTGGAGGCTTCTTAAGAACGGCTCAACTCCATGAGTGAGTGACACATAAATATTAGATCATCATTTATTTGTGCCCCCCTCACAACCCTCATCACAGGTCTGAGAAACTAGGCTCAAGATTTGTATTCGGGAGATGTTGAGTTCGAATATCAGCCAGGGCACTGAATGTTCTCATTGCGGTGTCTCGTGATATTCTTCAGCTCATCCAGTCAAATACTGAGCAGTACCTCGATTAGTCTATGACCGCTTTCTTCCAAATTCGTTCAGATTCAGTATTCATGAATCATACTACCGTCTGACGCCAAACTTTCAACATATTTAAAGAAAGCATTGTACTAAGAAACCTGGAAGGAACAACCGTCCATTTGTTAATTAACTGAAATACCGAGAAGAGTTACAATAAGAAAATTAACATTTGAAACCTCATATAGCAATATTTATACAGCCGAGAGATGCGTTTTGAGTTATGATTCATTTTATTAAGAATCCAAATGTTACAACGTTTATTTTAATTTAGTGTTACCAGGTCGCCTCTTTTCACCTAGGTCTGCTATGGATGGTTACTGCTGACCAAAGTTTACTGTTGTATTTTAGCGTCCTGTTGCACTGATTTTCTTCCATGACATGTCTACAGTGGTCGTCTTGTAGTTCACTCAGTTTCACCTGTTACTTCACGACCTGTTTCGGCAACACAGTGCCATCATCAGGTGCCCTAATTACGCTAATCTACTCGTATTTCATTTCTTGCTTTTATAAACTTTTTAAATAATTTTATAAGGCAAGCAATGAAATAGATTAGCGTATTTAGGGCATCTGATGATGGCACCATATTGCCGAAACATGTCGTGAAGTAACAGGCGAAACTGAGTGCACTACAAGACGGCAAATATATACATATCATGAATGTTTACTGTATTCTTTGTTGCTGTAGAATTAATGATGTAAAATATATAAACTGCAGTGTCACTGGGCCCACGGACCGCCGAATGCGGCCCGAGAACTAATGTACGTTCTAGCGACTCCAAGCATTCACAATCAAATCATGTTTAGTGGTGTTAACACAACATCCAGGATTG